GCACACGGCAGGAGGCAGCAGGGGTGGGCAGAGCTGTTGGAGCAGACTCGGTTCCGAGGGTGTGGCCGTCGTGGGCAGAGGAGAGCTTTGGCTAATTTTTCTCTGGAAGTGATTTTAGTGCGCAAAAGTGCGATCAGACTGCATCAGTCCCACCTCCCGGTCCTGCCTGCCGAAGGGGCCTATATGGAAAGCACAGAGGCAGTGGCCACAGGGGAGCCCAGAGCTGCGGGCACCCTCGCAGGGCAGTGAGCGGTCCCATGGGCTGTCACCCTCAGTCGGAGTGGGCCCCCGGCTGAAGCAAGGGCAATGTTAGAACCCTAACCTGAGCCCGAAGAGCAGAGTGTGCTAACATCTCCCAAGCTGGGAAGACTGCCGGCCACCCCTCAGGCAGACATCTATACGTGATACTCTTTGTTCTTGGAAGCAAGGAGATGAGTGGCAGGTTCAGACAGGAAGTAGAAATACCTCTCTCTGTCCCTCTTGCTAAGCACCACACAGCTAACCCCATGGACATTGCGTGTAAAGCAGCTGGAGAAAGCTGAGAGGCGGAGGTGGATGGGGACCAGCGAGGCTCCTGGGCACCGGAGGAACGCTTGGGAATACGGCCCTGGGTTTCCTGTGGCCACGTATACCCTGAAATCGGCTCTGGAGAAGCTGACCTCCTGGGGGCGCCAGTAGGAGCAGGCAAAAAAAAAAAAAAGGAAGAAGAAAGAAGCCCAAGAAAACCCTCTTTTCTCTAACCAAAGTGCTAGGAAGGGGCAGCCTCAATAAGCAATTGAAGTTATGCTTGAGAGAGATGGAAGCACAGTTCCTAAAATAGCAGAAGATAGGAAAGTGAAAATTTTAGATTAAAAATGCAACAATAATAAAAACCAGTGAATGTGTGAAACAGGACGGAGGAGACAGAACAGGGTCCTGTGAAATCGGAGGTGGACTGGTGGGCCTCCCCCACTGGGACACCGGGGGCCAGCCACAAGGAGGACAGAGCAGTGGACTGCAGCGGGAGAGGGCAGGGGTGTCGTTGGACTTCCGGAAAGAGGAGGGCCGGGCCGTTTGCACATGTGCTCAAGGGAAGGTGCCTCGACATTCCCCAGAGTTGGTGGAAGAACCTATTGGAGCAGATCCAAACAGAATTAGCCCAAAGAAGCCTATGTCAAGATGGGGTGTGTGTGTCTGAGACAAACTGGACATGGGAGACCGGCCGGGGATCTTGGACGCAGGGAGGGGCGCACCTGCCTACAGGGAAGCAGCGAGGGTCACGGCCGAGTCCTCGCCCTCTCTGAGACCAGCATGCTGTCAGCACCCTCTGTGCCCTAGACCTCGGGGAGGTCAGGGCCTTGTCACAGAGGAGAGGTGAAGAGCGCACCACCAGCAGAAAGAAGAGCTGGAGGGCTCCAGAGGCAGGCCAGTGGTGGGAGAGCTCAGACTGCAGGCAGAGCGTGGGTGCGGGTGCGGGCGCAGAGGACCCCCGGGTTCCCCCCTCCTCAGCGTCCTTAGTTGTGTTTGACAGCTCAAGTAAAGCTTGAACCCCGAGTGTCTCCATGTCCCCGAGCGTATACAGATGCCCACGAGGGAGGCCAGGTGTGTAGCAGGCCAGCCCTGCTCCGTGTGAGCCAGCCTGTCGGCACCAGCAGGCTGCCAGTCACAGGAAGGACCCGCTCTCCGAGGCGGTTCACTGCCAGCGGCCCATGTCTGGCGCCTTTCAGGCAGGGGCCTGAGAGCTTCCTTCTGAGGCCTGAGGTGTTGTCAGGGTATCTCGTGTGGCCCTTTGGCTCCCATGGCCTGAGTCTCTGTCCTGAACTCAGCACTTCCCTGAATCGTCCTTGCGGGCAGCAGAGAGCAGTCTGAGAGTCTGCAGCCCAGACGCCTCCCCACAGCCCTCCTCCGTCCACTCCTGGGTTTGTGGGCCGGTTGCCCAAGGTCGTGGGCACTGGCTCTTTCCGCTGTCTAAGGCACTCCGAGGAGGAGAGGTGGGAGCCAGTGTGCTCAGTCGTCACCGTCAGAGACACCGATGGAGTGAAAGCCACAGAGCCACCGGCACGGCAGGACGGGAAGCGACGGTTGGAAAACCTGAGGCCCACCTTGAACCACCAGCAAAGGACCACTTCCCCACACATCGGGAAAACGCTGTCCCCATTCTCTGCAGAACGTCTGAAGGTGAGGGAGAGAGTGAGAGAAGGGCATCCCAGAGAGTTGGCCAGAGGAGACCAGCTGGGTTGGGGGCCTGGGGCTGAGGGCACCGTCCTCAAAGTGCCCACCCAGAGCGCGGGAGGGGTGCCGAAGAAGCCATGCTCGCTGAGGACACTCAGGGCAGTACCTGAGTGGGGGAGGCCCCGACGTAACACCCTCACAGAGCTGCTCGCCCCGGCTGTGTGGGGTTCTCTTCTAAATGTCAGTGAGGAGTGGGAAGAGCCAGGAGCTTCGGAAGCGGAGGGTCGAGTTCTGCATTTGTGGTCGAGCTGGCAAACTCACTGCCACTGCCCCCTACAGATCGCTGAACAGGTGAAGCCGGTGCCCCAGGCCCCAGGGCAGAAGGAAGCGCAGAGGCGCCTGGGACTCTGGTGTGTCTCAGCCCAAGCCCAAGGGCTTCCCCGTGAAGGGCTGGTGGGCTGCACCTGTCTGGGCTCACGCCATGACACCTGGGGCTTACCCGTGACAGGTCCAGCAGACAGGCCTGGCTCTCACGTTGGCTGCTGGGAGTTACAGAATCAGTTTGTAAAATGCCACACCCAACTTGTGTTGCTTAGGGTGACATCGTCAGTGGGCGTCAAACTCAATTTGTGCAGAATAAAAAAGCTTTATGTGGGTCTTAGAAGTTGCACCTTGAGGAACAGAGTGGAAAAGATGGCAAGGAGCCGAGCAGAAGGCTGGTCTTAGCAGAGCGGGCCGAGGAGCAGGGACGTTGAAGCTGGCCGCGTGTTGGGTTGGAGGCCGACTTGGGGAGCCTGGAATCCCCTTTTCTGCAGTAAAACAGGTCGGTTTTGGCATGTTAGCTTCCTGGCAGTGTCCCGACGTGGCATTTCAGGAGAAGTACACCACTTGGGCTGGCTCATCCGGGCTGAGGGCAGGAGGTTAGCCCAAGTGCTGACCCCGTACTGTACTTAACACACCAGAAGCCTCAGCCTGTGCTCACAGGTCACCTATCTGAAGGGCGTGCCGGCTGCCACTGACAGAAAACCCAGTTCGGGTCGTTTGGACAGAAGACACGTGATAGCACGCTAGCGCTGGGAGCACGCATGGGGGCCGCCCTCCTGCAGGCTCCACCCCAGGGTCCCAGCATGCCCTCGTGCTGCCTTCAGTCGGTGTCCAGAGGGAGAATGTCTCTCCAGTGGCTCTTCCCGTGGGTCCCCAGGACTGGCTCAGCTCCCAGCACTCCAGGAGGGAGCCAGTAGAGACGGGGTGGGGCCGTGGCCCTTCCTGAACCCCCGGCGTGCCAGGGGGAGTGCCGCGTACCGGCCAGCTCAGGCCGTGGGGACAGGACCAGCTGCTCTGGCCACCTGGGCTCAGCCTTTTGTCCAGCCTCAGGGCCTTCAGAGGACAGACACCCAGCGCTGTAGGCAGGGGTGGGGGTGTGGGGCCACGAGCTCCGGATCTGGGGGAGCGAGCAAGGCCTGGTGAGGCCCCGTCCAGGCCTTCAGGAAGCCGCCATTGTGTCCTTTGTTGTGAACGGCAGCAAAAACGTAATGAAAGACCGAATCTCGAGAAGGTTTAGTGGTTTAGAACCTGTTCTTATCAGTATAACAAACGATCCATTCGATCCATTCGTTGTGGGGAGTGTGACTGCCGGTGACAGGGTGGAAAGACACTTGGGGGACTCCAAAAAGCCCCTGGAGATAGAGGGGAGGAGAACTGCTTGCGTGCAGCTTGGAACGTGTGCACTTGTCATTGTCTCCTGAGAGAGACGGGGAGATAGTCCGAGAACACTGCAGAAAGTATTTCTTCTGGGACCAGTGTTGGCATGTTGGCTATGTGCTGGACTCCCAGGTAGTCAACCGCGGTTTGAGTCCTGGACCCAGTGGCTTAAACTCATGCCAGGCGCGTGTGTGTATCCAAGATCCGGAGAGGAGAATGGAGGAGAACGAATTGTGTGGCCATCCCCCCAGGAGGTGATTCCTTGCTTTCTGTCTCTCTGTCTTTCTCTGCGAGTGCACATGCCCTACAGCAATAACCTCTCCATAAATCATTATTTCTTCCACGACTGGGAAGGGGGGAGAGAGACAACAGCATCCCTAGCCTCAGCCAGCCGCAGAGATGGGTGTGCACATGCCCAGGCTACTCGGGGGTCTCTGGGTGGAACCTGGAACTTTCTCACATAGGTCCACCTACAGAGGGTCAGGTCTCATAGCCACCCCCAGACAGAGTCACCTACAGAGGGTCAGGTCTCATGCCCGCCCCCCAGAGTCACCTACAGAGGGTCAGGTCTCATGGCCGCCCCCAGACGGGGTCACCTACGGAGGGTCAGGTGTCATGGCTGCCCCCAGACAGGGCAGTGTGTCAGACCTTACTGGAGCCCGAGGGCGTGGGTGGCCCTGCGCGGCGTGGCCTGCCCTGGGACAGCGCTCCTCAGTGGTTGCATGGCAGTACCAGGACGAGCGGTGTCAGCACCCTGACACGTTCCGCAGGGACTGGGCTCGGGGTGGATTACAGGGCAGGCAAGGACCCAGTAGCCTGGAAGCGCCTTTGTGTATCTCTAGGAAGGTGTCAGGGCTGAATGCATATTTTGGCAGCAAAAAATTTTGCCGAGCAGGAGTGTGAACATTGGAATCACCAGGACTAAAACTAAAGCCAGTGGTGCCACTGTTTCAGGAGGCGTCGAGGTTGAGCTGCAGCTGTTGTCCCGTAAGAAAGAAACGCCAGCCCCGGGCTGAAGGAACGGGGCGTAATTGTGTTGTGGTGAGCCGGGGGATGGCAGAGTCCACAGTGCAAAGCACGCTGGATGTCACTTTCCAATCAACCGGCGGGATGCAGCGGGAGAGCAGAGGCGGAGGACGGCCCTCTCTCCCCTTCCCACTTGGCAAGCAGAAGCAGAAGCAAGAGACACCACATCTCGTTCTGTATTCTTTCCTCAACATAATTGTCAGGTTTGCGGAATGGCTCAGAGTCATCCGTAACCAGTCTAAAACAGATCTCCCCTCGAGGCCAAAGACTGCAGTTGTGTCGAGTGGAGACGTGTAGTGTGTGAACGACACAGGGTGTCCGCACGAGGGCCATCTCTCCGTCTCTGAGTACACAGCGCCCAGGCAGGTGGACTGTATTCACACCCAGCCAGTGCTCACCACATTCGTCATTGTCACCATGTCACCGTCAGAAAGACGCAGTGTGCATCCACCGGGCCTAGCTTGCCGCCCGTTGCAGTCCCGGGAGGAGACTTCGCCAGTCAACTCCAGGAGAGGAGGTGCACGTAGCCGGTGAGTACACGGAGAGGGGCTGGCCTCATTGGTCACCTGGCTGAGAGATGAAGCGATCCTGTCCCCTGCACAGTAGAATGGCTCGTGTCACAAGGCCTGTCAGGCCTGGCCACAGAGCTGCCGGCGGTGAGGCCTTGCTGCAGTTCTGGAGCCGTGGGGGAGCCCTGGGCTCGGCTCCCGGGTCACCGTGGGTGTGCCCAGGAACCTGACTGGGAGTCTGGAGGAGGCTGTGACAGGAAGGGACCCTGTTGGTAGTGACTCTTTCTCAGAAAATAAACTTTAAAATATGACAAAATTGGGACTGGTACATAGAGTAACGGTTACATCACTGCACTGCCACGCAGTCACACGGTTCGGGTCCTGGACCTGGTGGCTTAAACTCAAGCCAGGTGTGTGTTCGTGCATCCCAAAATATGAGAGGAGGATGGAGGAGAAGGGATTGCAGTGTGGCCATCCCCCTAGGGGGTGATTTCTTGCTTTCTGTCTCTCTGGCCAGCTCACGTGCCCTACAGCAAAAATCTCTTTTTAAAAAAAAAAATCCTGGGACCAGCAGATAGCATAATGGCTACATCGCTGGACTCCCATGTAGCTGCATGCAGTGTCAGTCCCGGACTCGGTGGCTTAAACTCATGCTGGGCGCATGTACATGCGTGCTTAAGATCCCAAGAGGAGAATGGAGGAAAAGGGATTGCGGCATGGCCATCCCCCCGGGGGGTGATTTCTTGCTTGTCTGGGGGGTGGCCGCGCCCTATAGTGAAAACCCCCCCCCCCCAAAAAAAAAAAAAAAAAAAAAAACCCTGACAAAATCACATGGGTGATGTTGTGGAGTAAATGTTTACGTCCCTGTGGGTATAAAACGGTACAGCCATTTTGGAAAACTGGTGGCTTTCTAAAAGATATACATCTACTTAGACACTCCACTTCGATGTTTTGCCTAAGTGGATTAAGAATGTGTGTATAAGAAGACATCTAAAGTAGAAAAAGCTCGAAACATCATGACTACCTGGTAGCTGGGGACTAGCTGTAGCACGTCCTCTGGAGTGCTGGCCAGTAATAGCCAGAGCAGCCTGCTGTGACACGCAGCGGAGACAAGGGGGCGCGCAGGCACCAGCTTCTGAGTGGGCGCGGCCGTCCAGAGGCCAGTCGGAGCGCTGGTGGCTTGGAGTGGGAGAGTCCACTGCAGTGTGCACGGGGGTGGGGGTGGGACGATCTCTTTCTTTCTTTCTTTCTTTTTCCTTTTTAGAGAGAAATTTTTGCAATAGGGTGCACTTGCTGGAGGGACAGAGAAACAGAAAATGAGAAATCACCCCCCAGGGGTGATGGCCATGCTGCAGTCCCTTCTCTTCCATTCTTCTCTTCAGATCTTGGGCACGCACCCACATGTGCCTGGTGTGAGTTTTAAGCTGCTGGGTCCAGGGCTCGAACTGCTGTTGACTACCTGGAAGTCCAGTGACATAGCCATATACCATCTGTGGTCTCAATGCTCTATACCCTAGCTGAGAGCTGGCTACGTGGGTGTAGGTATTGGCCAACGTGCGTTGGAATGCAAGCTACTAATAAAATCTGTGCACTTCACTGTAAACTTTACCTTGATACAAAAATGCGGAAGTCCCCTAGGAATCGTGGTCTCACCTCGTGTTTGAGTGTGGAAGGTCTTAGGAACCTTCCAGAGCGCTGCCTCGCTAACAGCTGACAGAGCACTGCGGGCAGGTGGTGGCACAGTGGCAGCCCGCCGGGGCTCACACAGGAGGTCCCAGGCCCCAAGCATGCTGGGCATACCTGGCACGTCCGTGATTTGGGCTGGCTTGGGCTGGGAGTGGCTTCTGGTGTGAGGGATGTGGTGGGGGCCCTCCCTCTCTCATGGAAGAGATCAGTAAACTTACTAACTCATAGGCTACAGATTTTGGTTGAAAGGGGAAGACGGATGAGTATCAAAGTGGAAAAATATCAAGGAGAAACTTACACACAGAAGCTGAGCAAACAGAGACTCTGGACAGATGGGTCCCGGTTTAAGTATACACAAGATGGGGAGAAGCAGCATAGACACACACAAGGTCTGGGGCCAGCAGGGGGCGTAATGGCTACATCGCTGGACGCCCGCGCAGGCAACCGTGCTTTGAGTCCTGGACCCGGTGGCTTAAAACTCATGCTGGGACTTGTGTGTGCATGCACGTGTGTACCCAAGATCTCGAGAGGAGAGGGGATTGCGGCATGGCCATTCCCCCAGGGCGTGGTTTCTCTCTGTCTCTCTCTGTCTGGCAAGTGCACGTGCCCTATAGCGAAAATCTCTCAAAAAAAAAAAAAATATGAAGGTCTTACCAACAAACATGAAACATTGCATGGAAATAAAGAACCCCATCTGGAGGAAATAGAGCCTAAGAATAGAAGAACACTTCCAAGTGTGTTTCCTGAGATGGAAGAACTAAAAAACACTAACTCAGTAAATGCTGAGGCTACAACAGAGACGTGAAAGGAAGTGTCAGAGGTAAGGAAAATAAAGAGAATCAAACACTGTTCTAGATTTAATAAATAACCTAGAAGGAGCAAGAGTCCAAGCAGACATGGCTGGGAGTCAAATTTCTGACAGGATGTTTCAGATCCTCTCCACAATTTGAGAGGAAAATAGAGACCCCTGTCTCCAAGCCCCCGTCTCTGAGCCCCGTGCCTCTGAGCCCCCGTCTCTGAGCCCCCGTTTCCGAGCCCCATCTCTGATCCCCGTCTCTGAGCCCCCATCTCCGAGCCCCGTCTCCGAGCCCCATCTCCGAGTCCCCATCTCCGAGCCCCGTCTCCGAGCCCCGTCTCTGAGCAGGCTCCCTGCCGGAGGCAGGCTGGCAGCCCTGAATGAACCGTCCGTGTACTTGGCAGCTGCACTTCTTTAATAGTGCTTATTTTCTTTCCATTATAAAAATAATGCATGCTTATAATAGAAAATGGGAAGTACTAAAAACTAGAAAGGAAGAAATAATTACCTGCGATGTCACTGCCTTGAACACCCACTGCTAACGTTTCTGTGGGTTTTCTTTTAGTCACTTTCTATGAATATTCATGCTGTTGGATCCGCTTCCTGGGATCCTCGTATCTTGCACTTTTTGCGCTGCAGCAGCTTCCACAGGAGCATCTGTCTGCCGTGGGTGAACGTCGTGGGTACCTCTGTCCAGCTCATTACGGAAGTTCTTCAAGAATGTCAGTTCAATGAAAAGTGCTCGTGTTTTCGATCCACACAGCAACAGACCCCGTGTCCTGACAAAGCAAAGGGGCCGGAAGACGGCTGGGAAAGAGGAAGTCCTGGTGCCGCCTCCACCCGGCACAGCCACGCCGGCCTGGCCCTCTGTGCACACGGATACCCGTGCCCTCGTACACGCTACATGCTCTGCTTCCTCCTTGCCATGGCCTGCAGCGAGCGGGTAAGTCCCACCCTGCCGCCGCCCCACTCCCTCCTGACCCGTAAGGACAGGATTTGGACTGGGCCGTCCGGTTGTTTCGAAACATTATGTACCTGCAAGAACACTCCAAAGAGATCAAGGGAAGAGGGAATGAAAGGACGCGTTCAGGCCAGTCGTCAGGGCTGGCCACGTGGGCAGGCTCGGGGTTTGTAGCTGAGGCCTCCCTGGGGTACTGGGCACAGAGTACCACCATCCAAGGCTGGCTGAGGTGCTGTCCTCTGCCCGTCATGGAGAACATACATGTAAAAGTTTCAGAAGGTGTTTTATCTCAGAGCCTGAAGGTGAGTGACCTGTGCACGGTAGGTCCAAGTACGCGTCCCCCTTGAACTTGCGAGGCCGCTGCTGCAGTGGAGCGGGACTGCGTCGTGCCACACGGCGTGGCCCTCAGGACGTGTGACATGCACTGCCTGGTTGCACCTGTGACCTCTGACCTGGGCACTTGCCATGGAGGCGCAGTCGCCACATGCAAACCCACACTGTGAGTGGTCCGGATGCGTGTGCTTGGCTCGGTGGCTGAGGCACAGTGGGCTGTCCCCTGAGCAGCACAGAGCGTGTCCCGGCCATGGTAGCCAGTGAGCTCCCGGGAGGACCAGCGGCAGGGGAGCTGCCAAGTCACCGGGTTCCTGGCACCCTGCAA